AAAAAAAAAAAAAAAAAATCTTGCCGGCTGTTGACTACTTGCATGCCAATGCGGTCGCGACGCACTTGGGCAAAGCGCCTGTCACACCTTTAGCTGCTACTGACGCCGCTGCTACTGTGGGTCGCACAACCTATTGCCGCTTTCGTTTAATCAATTCACACTTATTTGTTTTAATATGTACTCTTTGTTTTTGCAGTATTTCCCAAGTACTTTGCTAACATGGTGTATTTACTGTGCGCTCACAAGCCTCACCATATTGTTGGTGAAGCTGGCCAATATGGCGCTGCATCGACTCTACGATCGGGCGCAAACCATGTCGGAGGCGAATCTCAAGAATCCATTTTTCAAAATAACCAAGGAAACTGAAACGCGGTGAGTTTGCCACAAAAGACAGTGTGATGTGGAGGAAAGATTTGTGCTTGGGAGTGTGAGAGAAAGGAAAAGGCATGCCTATGAAGAGAATGTTGATTAGTGTCGTAGTATTGAAAAATGAATCAATTATTCGAATCTATAATTTATAATTTAAGAATATGCACCCCGATTAGGAGGACAATATGTATATGAATGTGTTTTGATGGTATGCATCTAGATACAATAGACAACAGCATACGTTACAATTTTCTCTATGATTTTGATACTTCATGCTTTAATTATGATCCGATTTCTGCATTCGCGGCGATAAACAATAAAATTTCCTTCATCGCTCTCTACTGTCCAGTGATCAGCTATATGCTTTGTAATATTTACAAAATTTCTTCAACAGCTTGCTTTCTCATGACTCACTTCGCGTACAATATTTCGCAATTATCTTTTTTCAAGTATAACCGCACTGAAAAAAATGGAACAAGTGCGATAAAGCTAAACGAGGCGGGTCAAAGCTCTCAAATGGGATGACAGAGCTAACAAATAAAGAAACTTAAGCAAGTAAACTTTAAAACGAGTTTCAAAGAAATTTAAACAAAGAAAGGAATATTAAAGAGCTGAGGTGTTTATCACCACCCCTCTCACCACTCCCCTTATGCATCTATTCATTTAAGGTGATAATTGTATATATGTACAAACGTACGTATGTACCTTCCTAAAGGTGAAATTTGTCACACAAGGTTTCCTACAAGGTCAACACAGCCTTCCGTCGTGCATATGACAGTAGTTTGATGGGTAGTCAGTTTGGTAAGGCAGCATTTTAACTGCACAAGGCCACGTGCATTGTTGTGAACACATACCCACATACCAACACACTCACATACGCGCTTATGAAATAAAAATTTGTTTATAAAGTATTTGTGTTTAATACGCGAAATCCTTGGAGGTGTGCGGGAGGTGTGCAAAGGCAAAGGTGAGGTAGGATTCTGAACTCTGCGCTACCCTGCTAGCGGGTATGTTGTATTAAGAGTGCGTTTGAGTGTGTATACGGCCCACTACACATATCCATGTGCGATAACGTGGCATGTTGTTTGTTTATAAACAACAAGCAGCGCGTTTAAGTTCACGCCAAGTGGTGTTGCTGTCTTGTTTGGCAACTAGCTCATCCGTTTCTAGCTCATTAAGCGTTTGTTTGGTGAATTTTGTGCTGTTGTTTATCTTCATTTGCCTGTTTGCTTGCAGTGAGAATGAGACGGGCATCGAAATGAAAGTTATGCGCAACGATGGCTCACGCAATTCTGTGGAGCAGGCCATCAACGAGGCCAGTGAAGAGAACAGCATGATGTCAATGGAGAATGTGAATAGCATAATTGGTGAGTTACAAGAAATTTATCAATTTTATAAACAACTCTGAAATTTGTCTTTCCTTGCAGACCTCAAAGTGGACGTACATCGCAAAAACAGCTCCGAGTCCATCGAAATGTTATTCTATCCCCCCTCCGTCTATCTGGCAACAGCCAGCAAGATCAACAATCTCTCGCCGGTTCGCTGAGTGTTACAAAATCCATACGTTCCACGAATGCTCCTGCCGCCGGCGGCCTCAGCGTCTATCCGGAGCACGAAAAGCGAACATTTGAACGCTTGCATCAGCGACGCGACCGCACACCACAGCAGCGCTGCCGCTCCCGGCAGTACCAGCAACATCACCACCACACGCCACTTGCCACACCTACTACGCAAATCATCGGAAGAATTTAAACGCCGCCATCAGCGTCGTCGACTCGAACGTCAGGGTAGCCTAGACGCGGGCGCCGAATCGTGCATTGCCACGAAACTTATTCGCAATCAGTCTGATACTATTGCAACAAGTGTTGCCACAGCGCGCAACGAAACCTTCCTGCATCCACAAAGTGGCCAAACAGCTACAGCTGCCGGTGTGG